CAGGGCCGGGCCTCCCCCTGCAAGCGCCAGGGGCCAGTGCCCCCTCCTCTCCCAAGTGCCGCGCGCCCCGGCCGGTGCTCCTCCTAAGCGCCGCGCGCCCGGGGCACAAGCGGCCAATTCGCAGCGCTCCTGGGGCCGGCGCTTACCATGCGCCCGGGCCGGCTCCAGCACCGTGCGTGCACCACATGCCCGGGGCCAGGCCAGCCCCGAGCACTTGGCGGGCGCACACAAATGGCCCCGTGTTGGGGACCACTCCTCTAGCCCCTTCCCCGGCCTGCCTCCCAGTGCTGAGCTGTTGCTGTGTGGTGGGCTGGTCTGTTTGCCTTCAGGATTGTCAGGTGCCATTACCTCAGGGCAGGTCATTAACCCACACCAGCCCCTGCTTAGCTGCAGGCTCCTTGTTAGCCTGCAGCACCTTCTGTCCCAGCCCAGGATCCACAGGGGAAGGAGGTGGCTTGGTTCCAGCCAAGAAGGGAGGGAGAGGGGGGGGAGGAAGAAGTCGAGGAGGGGGTAGGACCTCAAGAGAAGAGGTGGAGCAATGGTGGGGCCTCATGGGGAAAAGGTGGGGTAGGGTTGGTAGGGTGCCATTAGCAACCCTATTCCTTTTGCAACACTAAGATGCAGCTAGTGCTGGAGTGGAAACCCCCCAGTCTTTCCAATGGCTTTGGAGTCGTGCTGGGGCACCCAGAGAGACATTGTGAATATCTTTTAGCTTTTCAAAACATGTGGAACACCAAGTTTGAGTGGCCTGCCCCCCATGTTAAGTATTAGGGGAAGCAGTGTTGGCTAGTGTATAGAGCACTGGCCTGGAGCTCAGGAGATGTGAGTTCTGTTCCTGACCCCGCCACTGGCTTACTGGGGGACCATGAGAATGTTGCTTATTATCATTGCTCAGGTTTAGGCCAATCAAGACATGCCTCTGTTGTGCTAAGTGCTGTACAAATACAATAGCAGATGATCCTAGATCTGGATATTTTGTTTTATGGTCGTGCCTCAGTTTCCCATCTGTAAAATGGGGATAAATGATGCTGACCTCCTTTGGAAAGTGCTTTAAGACCTATGGGAGAAAAGAGCAAGGGATTATTTTATTATTGATAGGGAAGGCAGAGGCATGCCGATAGGGTGAAAGTTGCCTTGCTACGACTGCAGGATAAATATAGGGCCTTCATGTCCAGGGCTGTCAGTGAGAGAGACAGCTCAGGTTTCTAATATCTCCAGCCTGCAAGCAGAGGTCTTCTTGAGGCAAGGCCCAAACACAGCTGAACACCCTGGATTCACATGTGGATGGAGGCTTGTGGCTGACCTGTCCTGCTTCTGTGGTATGACCCGATGCCTCAAATGTTCCTTTGGATTGCAGCTTCTTTCTTGTGTCCCCTTAGGAAACCAGACATCCCTGTTCCTTACCTGTACTTGGACATGGGGGCAGCGGTGTTGTGCGCCAGTTTCATGTCCTTTGGGGTGAAGCGCAGGTGGTTTGCACTGGGAGCAGCTCTCCAGCTGGCAGTCAGCACGTACGCCGCATATATCGGGGCCTACGTGCACTATGGTGACTGGTTAAAGGTGAGGCTTTCCTCGGAGTTCCCTGGGTGGCTGATCAGCCAGGAGGCAGCCTCCTCTCATTTGTTCCCATTCCAGCCTCATCTAGTAACCATGCACAGTTTGGCCTGTCTGAAATGAGCGTGAAGTTCAGTTCAGGCCCAAGTGAAACTGGCATCAGCATTGAGCCTCCTTATTGGCTCTTTCAGCAGGGAGGGCCAGGAATTCAGAGGCCATGCAGACTGGATTGCTCATTTCTTGAGACCAGGTCAGTGTGAGGGACACTTGCCCTGCCAATCCCTGGGAAGTGTCTGGCTTGTGACTATAAGGTGGCTTTAGTCTCCAGCTGTATTTCACAAGCATTACAGTCATGTTAATAAATTAGTCTCATCACCCTTCTTTTCCCCTCTTCCACTGCCCCCATTTTGATCCTGCTAGTCTGCTATCTTGTGGCCAAAGCAGCTGCTTCAGAGAGATTGCATAATGCACCTAATTGCAAATTGATGCTCAGCTTGGGCCCTGAAACATGAAGATGAAGTCTGGGTCCTGTGAAATGCCCCTGCAGATGTTGTTTTCATGTATCTAAATGCCTCTTTTAGTTCTTGTATGTTTACGGGGCTCCTTTTTCTTTCCCAGTCGCTAACTGACATACCCACGGTGTGATTTCCCCCGCAGGTGAGGATGTACTCACGAACAATAGCGATCATTGGCGGGTTCCTGATCTTGGCGAGCGGGGCCGGGGAGATCTATCGTCAGAAGCCACGGAGCAGGTCCCTGCAGTCCACTGGGCAGGTCTTCCTTGGCATCTACCTCATCTGTGTGGTATGTACCCAGCGGGGCACACCTGGCTATGCCAAGGTAGCTGTAGTTGGGCCATCGCTAGCCCATAGGCAGAGCAGGGGGTCCAAGCAGGGTGATCAGAAAGAAGCTGGGATTCAGTGCTTGCCATGTGGCTGTGGCCGCCGTTGGGGAAGGGTGGTGTCGGCACAACTTGTATTGCAGCTGGGGGGAGACTGCTGGCTAGCAGAGGCAGAACAGATATTTACAGTTTGCACAGCTCTGGCTGGCAGCAGACCCTTCAGAGCTGGGGAATTGTCTGTGGGGTGCAGGTGGCCACTCAGGATGTGCCTTGCACTGAAAAGACCTGGGGCCAGAGGAGCTTCCCAGCGGCCATGGCTACTGGCCAGGGTAGTGCAAAGGATTCTGGGGAGTGTTTAGAAAGCCCCAGCACACACAACTGGACAGAAACAGAGGCAGTGAGTTGGCTCTGTGGGAGGAGCCACCAGCTTCCCAGGAAGAACAGCCGTGCAGGGCGGAAGAAGCATTTGGCCCCAGTTAAGCCTTATTCTGTGTGGTTATGGTTTGATTGAGCAGCAGGCACAATTCCTTCCTGCTAAGGCTGGATTAAATCAGAACCCCCAGCCTTACAGCAGGGGGTGCTGTGCCCCATTGGCAGTTCAGAGGGGATGTAGAACTGCCTTCCACCTCCTGTGATGCCATGTATAGACCTTCGTCTCCTGGACCAATTCCATTGGTACCGCAGGGGGTGCTGTGCCCCATTGGCAGTTCAGAGGGGATGTAGAACTGCCTTCCACCTCCTGTGATGCCATGTATAGACCTTCGTCTCCTGGACCAATTCCATTGGTACCGCAGGGGGTGCTGTGCCCCATTGGCAGTTCAGAGGGGATGTAGAACTGCCTTCCACCTCCTGTGATGCCATGTATAGACCTTCGTCTCCTGGACCAATTCCATTGGTACCGCAGGGGGTGCTGTGCCCCATTGGCAGTTCAGAGGGGATGTAGAACTGCCTTCCACCTCCTGTGATGCCATGTATAGACCTTCGTCTCCTGGACCAATTCCATTGGTACCGCAGGGGGTGCTGTGCCCCATTGGCAGTTCAGAGGGGATGTAGAACTGCCTTCCACCTCCTGTGATGCCATGTATAGACCTTCGTCTCCTGGACCAATTCCATTGGTACCGCAGGGGGTGCTGTGCCCCATTGGCAGTTCAGAGGGGATGTAGAACTGCCTTCCACCTCCTGTGATGCCATGTATAGACCTTCGTCTCCTGGACCAATTCCATTGGTACCGCAGGGGGTGCTGTGCCCCATTGGCAGTTCAGAGGGGATGTAGAACTGCCTTCCACCTCCTGTGATGCCATGTATAGACCTTCGTCTCCTGGACCAATTCCATTGGTACCGCAGGGGGTGCTGTGCCCCATTGGCAGTTCAGAGGGGATGTAGAACTGCCTTCCACCTCCTGTGATGCCATGTATAGACCTTCGTCTCCTGGACCAATTCCATTGGTACCGCAGGGGGTGCTGTGCCCCATTGGCAGTTCAGAGGGGATGTAGAACTGCCTTCCACCTCCTGTGATGCCATGTATAGACCTTCGTCTCCTGGACCAATTCCAGCTCCGATGGTTGAACTCAAAGGCTGGACGTTGAAGCTAGAGACGTTCCGAGTAGCAGTGAACTGAAACCTCTCGCATAGGCATTGGGAGATTGTTTTGCCGTGGGCTTTGGCACTGGTGTGACTGCTGCTGGGATGCTGCGTCCAGTTGTGGTGCCCACAATTCAGAAGGATATTGAGAAGCTGGAGAAGGGTCAGAGAAGAGCCACAAGGTTAAGAAACCTGCTTCAGGGTGTAAGGCCCAAGGAACTCAGTCTCTGGCTTAGCAGAGACCAGGTAGGGGTTTCTGACGGCAGGTTAGAAGTACCGGCACGGGGACAACGGGATCTTTAATCTAGCCCAGGGGTCTCCGCCTGAGGGTCGGTGCCAGTCCTTAAATCCTCCCGGTGGGCCCGTGGGTGCCCTGCTCTTGCAGGACTCCTGGTCTCCTTGAGTTGCCCTGGCCCTGCCTGCCACCCTGGGCATTTGGAACCTCCTAGGGGGCTCCCACTGGCAGCGCAGCAAGCCTAGAGCGACTTCCAGCTGCTAGTGCCTTTGCTGGCCATCCCTGTGGCCCAGGGAGGTGTGTGCAGAGTTGTCCCACCCTTAGGATGCACTGGGGTGGCTGCCCCGGGGCCCACGCTTTGGGCGCCTCCTCAGCCATCCAATGGACAGGACAGTCCCCCATAATCAGGTTAGCCTGTGGGATGCTAACCACCATCAGAGGGGATGGGTGCAATGGGGGGGAGAGGAGAGGGGATGGGTGCAATGGGGGGGAGAGGAGAGGGGATGGGTGCAATGGGGGGGAGAGGAGAGGGGATGGGTGCAATGGGGGGGAGAGGAGAGGGGATGGGTGCAATGGGGGGGAGAGGAGAGGGGATGGGTGCAATGGGGGGGAGAGGAGAGGGGATGGGTGCAATGGGGGGGAGAGGAGAGGGGATGGGTGCAATGGGGGGGAGAGGAGAGGGGATGGGTGCAATGGGGGGGAGAGGAGAGGGGATGGGTGCAATGGGGGGGAGAGGAGAGGGGATGGGTGCAATGGGGGGGAGAGGAGAGGGGATGGGTGCAATGGGGGGGAGAGGAGAGGGGATGGGTGCAATGGGGGGGAGAGGAGAGGGGATGGGTGCAATGGGGGGGAGAGGAGAGGGGATGGGTGCAATGGGGGGGAGAGGAGAGGGGATGGGTGCAATGGGGGGGAGCTAGAGGTGCAGGGGCGCACAAGTCAGCTCCCATGCTGGGGTCGGATTGTGGAACTCTTGGGCTGTAGGTAGCCAGCAGGCTGTGAGTTTGAGACCCCAGATGTAGAAGATCCCGCCTCTGGAAGGTGAGGCTGGACACACGCAGACGGGAAATACCCCATGGATTTTATCAGCGAGGGGGCTGCCCACTGGGGTGTGCTGGGTTTTCTCTTGCTAGGAACGCTGACGTCAGTCTTGCCTCTTTTTCTAAAAAAGCCACTTGGGTTCAGCCCCCCCAGTCCGGATGCAGATTTGTCCCAGGAAGTCCCAACAAGCTAGGCCAGAGTCAGACCAGATGATCCTAATATCCCCCCCGGCCTGTGTGCTCTGGATTGCACTGCCCCTCCTCCACTGCTGCGCAGTGATTGGGTGCATGAATCAGGCAACTGCCACAGTCCCCAAAGCCTTTCTGGTGGGGTGGGGGTTTGGCTACTCTGCATTGGGGAGTATGATTGGAGCACGGCTCCCACACTTGTTTCCCCCGAGGGACCCACGTCCTACTGCCCTGTGCAGTGACCGTCAGAGACCAGGGCGTGCCTGAGCTCGTGTCCGTGACCAGAGCAGCCAAGGCGGGGCGGGGGGCGGGGGCTGGTAGAGCACAGCTAGCTTGGTGCTGCAGTCGCACCTCCTGATTGCAGGACACGTGCTCAGAGGGTATGAATTTGCTCCTACCTCCTGGCTTACTGTTCCACTGGCCCTGCAGGCCTATTCCCTCCAGCACAGCAAAGAGGATCGCCTGGCCTACCTCAACCACATCCTGGGAGGGGAGATCACCCTGCAGCTCCTCTTCATCCTCTATGGGCTGCTGGCCCTGTCCTTCCTGTCCGGCTATTACATCAGCACAGCCGCCCAGATCCTGTCGGTGATCCTGCCCCTGGTCATCCTGTTCATTGATGGGAACCTCGGCTACTGGCACCACTCCCGGCGCGTCGAGTTCTGGAACCAGATGAAACTTGTTGGGCAGAACGTTGGTATTTTCGGGGCTGTCATCATCTTGGCCACGGACGGTTGAGAGGGGACAAGTGGGATAAAAAAAAAAAACAAAATGGCTGCCGGCAAAAAGCCTCTTCTTAAAGTGGCCATGCTGATTTTTTATTTTTAAATTTTATTTTTTTTTTTTTTTTTTTTTTTTTTACTGCTTTTTAAAAAATTCCTATTTCATTTTCCCATTGACGGGCCAGGGGACTCCACAGCTGCCTCCTACTTGGTCTTGATCATGTTAATCTTTCATCGCCCTTTGACAGGTGTTTTCAGGTCAGCCCTATTGAACCTGGAGCAACAGCTGCCCACAGGGCCACACTAGCTCGGTGGGGTGGGGTGGGGTGAGGAGCCTAAATTCCTCTGCTGCAAGTGGGAATGGACCCTGGAAGCTTTGAAGTCCCACCGAGGCGCAAGATGGCTGGTTGCTGGAAAGACGCCAACAATGAATTGAACGTGGGACTTCAAAGCGGCCCAGTCATTGTGGTGAATTCTGGTTGCAGAGTGTGGGGCTCATGGCATGGGTGGGGAGATCAGTAAGAGCTGGCTCTGATTTAGCACTTTGCCTCAGTAGATCTCAAAGCGCTTTATGGAGGAGGTCATTACATTATCCCCATTGTACAGATGGGAAAACGGAGGCACAGAGCGGGGGTTCCCAAGCCAGAGTCACCATATTCTATCCGTTATCTAAGCTAGTTCTCCTGGTGAGTAGCTTCTAACTACTGTGCGTGGAAATTCACGCTGCTCCCCGAAAGGATGCAGTCCTGTCAAGAGAAGTGATTTCAAATGGGAACAACCCTTAGCATTTTTGATTGGGGGGAGGTGTTCTGGGAACAGCTTTGCTGCTCTCCCCGCTCCGGCAGCGTGCATACATTCGTGCTGTCTCCAAGCCGTCATGGGAGCGTGCATGGGAGTCACTTGTGCATTGGCTCATCTCATAGCACAGCCTGCTGGAGGGGGCAGTCGGACGCTGCTTTACATTCGGACAATCCTGCCTGCCAAAGTGTGGCGGAAAGAACAGTTCAATGGGGAGCTGTTGTCCTTCCCCCCCACCTGAGAGGTGGAATTTCCAGAATGTTGGGACAGGTGACTGCGTGAGAAAGGGGAGCTTGAAAGTCCAGCTCTCACCTGTTTCCACACTCTGAAGAACCCTTGTCTTACTACCCTGTGCAATGATTGTCGGGTCAGGGGCAGGTGGGAGACGACACTCCACTCTATAAGGTGACTTGCGGCCGAGACGCTTCACTTGGCCCCATCGGGGCCTCCTGCCACCAGGTTTGCTTTGTCCTTGCTGCGTTGCACTGCAAGTGTCTGATTGCTGCATGGTCAGCCGGTGTGTGAGATCTTTCCGGCTCTAGTGGCCTGCCCACCTAAGGAGAGCTCTCAGACATGGTCATTGTCTCAGCTGCTTTGACCAGCTGTTGAGTCTTCCCTGGTTTCTAAGCCACTTCTTGCATCATGAATTTCTGATGATTAAATGAGAAAAGGCTTTTAACTCCAACTTGAGTTTTATTTCTTACCAGGCACTGTTTGGCTTTAATCCAGCCAAAACTGCCTACTGTGCTGCTTCCCTCCCCAGTCCCCCTGTCTGAGCACCTCGCACCCTTGTGCGGAGCCAGGTCGATTAGCCCCATGTTACAGATAGGGCACAGAAGCCCAAAGTAACCTAGGGGGCCTGGGGCTGTGCTGGTGACAGACCTTCAGTCTGAATCAACTGCCTCAGCCTTCCTGTCTCCTAATCACAGGCATGTGAACAGAGTAAACTTCAGCTGCTTTCTGGCTCTGGAATCTGAACATCAGGTCTGTCTTAAGCCACCAAAAGGGATGCTGGCAGGAGAGATGTCTAGGCAAGAATTTTCAAAGCCAAAGTTAGGTACATAAATCAACTGGCCAACTTTCAGAGGTGTTGGATTTCAGTGGGCTACCTAGTGCCTCCATGTATGTGTGGGTTTAGCCTCCCCCACCTATGTGAAGCACGGCAGTGCTGTAATGCCCATTATACAGCTGGGGATAAAGTACCATGACCAAGGTCATGCAGGAAAGCTGTGGCAAAGCTGGGAACAGAGCCCTTGTCTTGGGTCCTGCTCCCCAGCTCTCCCATCTGAACAGTCTCCCATTGCCTGCTTCATGCACATGGCTGTTAGCTTGTGCCATATGAAGCTATGGGACCTGTTCACTTCCCCTCCATTAGGCAGCACTGGCATTTGGAGAGTTCATTGCAGAGTCCTAGCACTTAACCACACAGGTTCTGCTTCAACTCCTTCCCTGTGACGCGCGTGTAACCAGATCACTAGACTTACCGCTCGCTGCTTCTCTAGCGCATGACCGGCCGGCAAATACCTAGTAATGGGACACGTAAATATTTCCTGGCCAGGGATGCTGGTAATGGACTAGTTGGTTTGTGATCTGGGTAAAAGTGTCAAAAGTGCCTAGGGGACTTAGGAACCTGACATTTTCAAGAGCTGCTCAGTAAGACTTGGATTTGTAAGTCACTTTTGAAAATGGGCCATATGCTGCCAAGTGACTTACACCCAGATTTTGAAAGCTCGTCATTGCTATGCGCAGTGAACTTAATTGGCTTAGGAACCTGCATCTCCTTTTCAAAAGGGATTGAGGCACTTAGGTGCCAAAATGCCCCTGCCAGTCAGTAGGATTTAGGCTCCTAAATCAGTGAAGTGTCGCAGTGCTGAGTGTTTCAGTGCTTACGTATTCCTACAAACGTGGGCTTTTGTCATTCTGCAGTTTTCTCCCGTTTACCTGTGGGGTTTTCAATGGGGCTACGGGCATAAGTGGGAATTTTGCTGGCAGTTTGGTGTCTGCGTCCCTTGACTACTCTGAAGTTCCCAGCTTCCATTTGTAGTTCAGTTTGCGAGTGAGGAGCCTTATGCACTAGTTAAGGAGAGAGCATAAAACCCTAAAATCAAACTCAGCATGGTTGACGGAAGGGAAGACACCTTGAAAAAGAAGCCAAAACCACATTAAGAGTTGATGCTTTCCAGCTATTGTGTGTTGTGCTGTAGCCGTTGTCCGGAGAACACCACACACAGGCTGTTTGTTCCTATAAATACAAGCTTGTGGTATGACTCCTGCTTGCTGTTCCACAGGCTGGTAAGGGAGGGTGTTGCTGCTCTATTTACACATTCATTAATGGAGCCTTGCATCCTCTTCTGAGGTAGGTCCGATTTTATTGGTCGGGAAACGGAGGCATTGAGGGGGAAGTGACTTTGCTGAGATCCGCCAGTGTGTCGGTGGCAGAGATGAAACGTGAACCCAAGGGTCTGACCCCCTCACTCTAACTCCTCTCTGCTGCGGTCTGCACCACACGGGCTTCGTGAGAGGGGAAAGGCCGGGTGCTGGCTGTGCCCGTTAGTTCATGCAGAGCTGGCACAGCCAGAGGCTCTGTGCAGGCTGGGTGGCTGAGCTGTGTTGCTGTACGAAAGCTTGGCTCCTCCCAAGCCCAGCCTGCTCCATGCACCCCCTCATCTAGTCAGATCACCTTCTGGTTTGCAGAATGAGTCTGGGATGGACTTGGCATGGTTCACCAGCTCGTAGGAATCCCGGATGTCAGACAGTCCAAACCAGAAGAAGATCCACTGGTGGTTAGTGAAGCTTCCATCGCTGTGCTTGAAATACCTGATGGGAACAAAGTGAAAGCTGAGCCCCAGAGCAGCATCTGGGTGCCCAAGAGCCCCTGCAGATACAGCTAGTGGGATGAGGCCAGGGCAAACAGGCACCGGCTGTGTCTAGCTGGGCACTTACGCCTGTCTGAGCCCCTCCTAGACATCAGCGGCTGTGCTCTTGCAGCACAGAAGTGGGGATTGCACGTTACACGTGGGGAGGCCCAAAGAGGGCAGGAGGCATAGAGGTCGGAGTAAGTGGTATTTGTGCACAGAGCTCAGAGGCCCAGCAGAGCAAGGAAGAGGCCCAGCCCCGGTGAAACGGGTGTCCCAAGCAGACTTGTGCTTTGCCACAGCCGGTGCATATGGGAAGCAGGTAAAGGGGGAAGAGGTAGCAGCAGAGTTGTGTGTGGGAAGCCCTGGGCTGGAACAGCCAAAGGTAGGGGGGCTCGTGGCAGGATGGTAGAGCCATATGTGGGCAGCCCAGGGCTGGAACAGCTGGGGAACCCTTTGCGTGTTAACTTGAGCACAGAGACACGTCACCGTCCACCCGGAGGGTGGAATTCCCAGGGAAACGCTGCTTTGCCCAGGGCCCTTTTCCACCTACCAGGGGTTAATGGGGTTGGTGACACGTGACCGCCAGAAGAGGGTCCGGAGGTCCTGCCGCATGCACTCCCACAGCCTCTGGCCGGAGCCCTGGCTTTTCTTAGTGGAGCTGACGACAAACTTGTCCAGGTAGGGCGTGCCGCCCAGGACCGGCTCCTGCGTGATGATGGCGGCTGCGTTGTAGCTGGGTGACAAAGCGCTGGGTGAGCGGGGCTGGGAGAGGCGCCAGCAGCCTGGCCTTGGGTAAGGGAGGAGATCTCGCACCATGCGGCTGCTGTCAGGACAGCAGTCAGGGTGGCCCCTGCTCTCAGCCCAACAGGAAATAACCCAGGTTCGGTGGCTCTGGCTGTGGGTTTGGCCCAATCTCCAGGCAGGCGCCACCTGGAAAGGCTGGATGTCGTGTTTGCTTTTCGTAAGCCTGTCTCATGGCGCGTGAGCGAGAGGCTCTGGCTGGCCCTGTACGGGGTGAGAGACGATCCCTGCTCCCAAGAGCTTCCCATCTAATCAGGCCAAGAAGGGGCGGGGGGCAAGGAAGATTGCAGGGTGAGAGACGATCCCTGCTCCCAAGAGCTTCCCATCTAATCAGGCCAAGAAGGGGCGGGGGGCAAGGAAGAGAGCAACCCCTGGGGATCCATGATGGTCCTGAGAGCTGTCTGGCGGCCCATTCCTAAGGCCACTGCACCCCAGGGGCTGCCCTGCCTTCCCCCTAGAAGTGGCTGAATAGGAATCTCCCCCGCTCTGAGATCCCGCTGCCTGCCGACTCCTGGGCCCAGCACAGAAGTGCAGGTGGCTTCTCACCCCTCTGAGAAATAGACCGAGTGCAGCCTGGGCCGTAGGGAAGCCAGGTAGTCCCCTCGGAGGGTCTTCCCGAAGGACGTGTTGATCAAGGAGACCAGGCGCCTCTGGTCCAGCTCCTCCAGCCTCTCAGCCCGCAGCATGCGCTCAGCATTCCTGAACAGGGTGCCGGAGCCTGGAAGAGCGAGGGCTTTGCTGGAGCGGCCGCTTTCCAGCTCTCATGCACCTTGCCAGGCCATTTCTCCAGCCCACCCCATCCCCTCTGTGCCGAGGCTGGCCCCGGGGGCAGGCTCACCTTTGTTGCTGAAGAGCTCGGCGAGCAGCGCACGGGCAGAGGCGATGACAGCAGAGCCCTCGTAGGGCAAGCGGCTCAGCAGGTCAACGATCAGCCTGACTTGCTGCTGCTCCTTGTGGCCCATCCACTGGGCTTTGGTCACTAGGTCCAGGTCAGTGGGCAGGTTCACGGTCCCCAGCACCTGCGAGGCCAAGAGGGGCTCAGCACATGCGATAACCCGCGGGTTAGCCTCTTCTGGATCGTCCCCTGCTCGGTGCTGGCTGCCTCCAGGAAGGCCTTGAGTGAGGCCAGCCCAGCTGCTGCACCAAGTGGAGGGTGCTTAATGTAGGCACCAGGCTGGCTCTCACCCCTGCGGTGGCCAGCCCCAGTGTAGCGGGCCACGGGGGGCGGGCACAGGGCTGCTTTGACCTTGTCCGAGCTGGCTGGCAAATCCCTTAGGTCTCTGCAGCCCCTCTCCTCGTGTATGTGCTTGACACACTAGGCCAGTGGTCTCCAGCCTCTTTAACCACCAGGTCACTTTTTTGATGTAAGAGCTCCCTCAAACCCAAATCCCCTGGCCCCACTTCCTTCCCGCCCCTTCTCCGAGGCCTCGCCCTGCTCACTCCATCCCCCTTCCTTCCCCACCCTCGCTCACTTGCACCAGGCTGGGGTGTGGAAGGGGGTCTGGACTTAGCCCAGGGTGGGGGCCTGGGGTCCAGGGGGGATTTCAGGGTGCAAGCTCTGGAAGGAGTTTGGGTGCAGGGGAACTCGCATCTGGGGCAGGAGGGGGTTCAGGGCTGGGAGGGGTTCAGGAAGCAGGCTCTGGCGGGGCACTGTTTAACTGAGATGGCTTCTAGGTGGTGGAGCAGTGGGGTTAAGGCAGCTCACCCTTGCCCTGGCCCAGCACCAGCACCGCTCCTGAGAGCAGCTGGCATGTACAGCATTGGCTCCATGTGCTGCCCCTTATCTACAGGCACTGAGCCCACAGCTTCCACTGGCTAAAGCTCCGCTATTGATCAATGGGAGCTGCAGGCGTGGACAGCACGTGCTCTGCCCTTCTCGGGGCAAGCAGTAAAAGAAGTAACAACCACCCCCCAGGTACGGGGTGTGCGTGCGTGCGCGCGCCAAGCTCCCCCCATCCCCTTCTCTGCGTGGAGATGGGGTACAGAAGTGGGGAGCGGAGGAACACCCTGACGTCAGTGTTCCCCCGCTTCTCCCACACCCTGCACAGCAAGCAGGAGGCTCCCAGGTAGAGGGCAGGAGCAGAAGGACGGAGGCTGAAGGGGCAACTGAGCTGCCAGTGCTTGATAGCTCCCTGGCCAAACCAGTCAGGATCACCTGTGAGGCGTCCAGCTCTACTGGTTGGTGACCACTGCACTGGGCCAAGTGCCTGGCCGCAGCGCTGCAGGGGAAGGGGCTACCAGGAGCAAGCCAGGGGGGCGCTGATCCGGCACTGGAGCAGGACGTGTGTGTCTAGCCCTGCGCTGCCCTCACCCACCTTCTGCCCGGAGTTTCTGATGCCCCCTGTCATGTTCAGGAAGATGATCTTGGTGGGCAGCAGCGTCCTGGCGACGGCGGCGGTGACCTCGACGGAGTCCAGCAGCAGGGACTGGCGGCCGCGGGTCTCCCCGATGGGGCAGATGATGGGGATGTTCCCAGACTCCAGACACCACTGCAGCAGGTCGCCGTCCACTGAGATCCCGCTGTGAGCAGAGAGAAGCCAGCAGCAAGGTGAGCAAAGCAAGGCCAGCGGAGGCCTGGGGAAGGCCTGGCCTGCAGGCTCAGAGGCTGACCTGGAGCTGGCGGCTGACTGCTCTGCTCCCAGCACAGCACCGGCCCCGAAGAAGGGCATTGCCGCAGCCGAGTTCTGGTGCAGGGCGTCCATCAGGGCCTTGCAGTTCTGGGTCAGCAGTGCCTTGGTGTCCTGGAAGGTGAGGGTGTCGCTCAGGGAGCTCCGGGACGGCAGCCCCATCACCAGCAGGGGCTTCATGTCCATGCGCTGCAGGAAGGCCAGGCTGAAGGCCAGGCTGCTCACAGTCTCCTTGCAGCGGGAGACAGACTCGTCCACCTGCCCCGGGAAGAGCGAAGGAGCCACGGGTCAAGCCCTGGGGAGGCGGGGCAGCTGCTGCCCTGGGGGGGAGCACCTGGTAGGTGGGCAGCCCTGGCTCCATGTTAGCTGCTCCTATTTCGCTGCGAGCACCTGCAAGCACGGGGGGGGGGGTTTGCAGAGCCCTGGGCGAGGGTGATGTGGCTGGAGAGATCGGGGCGCTGCTGCAGCCAAAGGTTCCCCTCTGACTCCCCAGTAGGCTGTGCTCGCCTCTCCGCCACGGCAGCTATTGCCACGCCTCCCTGTTAGTTACTGGGATCCCCACTACAGGTACCCCCCCTGGATGCTAACACCCATCCATGTATCGCTTGGTGCCCTTTGTCCCTAGCAGGCCCTGTTATCTGCAGTCCTTATCTGGATCCTTGCTACCCAGCAGCCCTGGCCTGGCTCCAGCGCTAGTCTGCACTGGAGCAATGTTTCTGATCCGAGGCCAATGCTAGGATAGACAAGTGCAGCTCCCCTCCCCCATCTGTGGGGGGCGGGAAGGCAGGACAGGCTGGGAGAGCCGGCATAGGGAGCGTGCTGGGCACTGCTGCGAGGCAGAGCTGTTAACCCTCTGACCCTGCGTGCTAGTCAGACCGCTGCTTCCTCTGCGACCAGAGCAGACAAACGGGCTCGTCTGAGCCAGGCTCCTAGGTCAGGGTTAGGGTCCCTTGAATCCAGCATCATAGAGCACAGAGATCAAAGGTCATGTAGACCCAGATCCTGAAAGGCACCGCGGCTGCTAACACCCATCCATGTCAGTAGAAGTCAGGAGCCTTTACTGGCTTTGTGGGGGTTGGGACTTAGTCATGTGATCCTGCAAATCTATGCACAGCACTGACCTGGCCCCCTCCCAAACTTGTCTCTGCTTCTCCTCCTAGCCGGTGTGAGACTGGGCTGTGATTTGCGGAGGTGGGGGCCAAGGCTCAATCCAGCTTCTCCGAGACCTAGGCCTCTATATGAACCAGGGGATGCCCACATCTTGAATACTGTGTAGAGATGTGGTTGCCTCATCTCAAGAAAGAGAGATTGGCATTGGAAAAGGTTCAGAAATGAGCAACAAAACTTATTAGGGGTTTGGAACGGGTCCTGTATTAAGATAAAGACCGGGACTTTTCACCTTGGAAAAAAGGAGACTACGGAGGGATAAGAGAGTCTATAAAATCATGACTGGTGTGGAAAAAGTTATTTACTTATTCCCACAATATAAGAACTAGGGGTCACCAAATGAAATTAACAGGCAGCAGGTTTTTAACAAACAGAAGGAAGTTTTTCTTCACTCAGCGCACAGTCAACCCGTGGAACTCCTTGCCAGAGGATGTGGTGAAGGCTAGAACTTTAACAGGGTCCAAAAAAGAGCTAGATAGATTCATGGAGGTTAGGTACATCAACGGCTATTAGCCAGGATGGGTAGGAATGGTGTCCCTGGCCTGTTTCTCTGGAGGTGGGTGACAGGGAGGATCACGTGAGGATTCCCTGTTGTGTTCCCTCTCTCTGGGGCATCGGGCATTGGCCAGTGTCAGCAGACAGGATACTGGACTGGATGGACTGTTGGTCTGACACAGTATGGCCGTTATGTTCTTAGGGTCCCACTGAAAGCAGCAGGAGTTAGGCTTAGATCCTCAAAGCTGTTTAGGTGTCTAAGTGATATGCCTCAACTCACACAGGGAGTCTGTGGCAGAGAAGATAATCAAACACAGGTATCCCAAGTCCTAGGCTACAGCCCAAAGCACTGGTCACCCTTCCCCACCCTACTAGTCTATCTAGGGTGGTAGCCCACCTGTACCAGGACAATGTAGTTGAACACTCCTAGTGGCGTTTGCCTCTATACTGTCCTGAAGCAGTGAGTTCCAAAGGTTAATAGCATGTTGCTACCAACTGTATTTCCTTTCCTCTAGTTTGACTTGGCTGCCTTCTGGCTCCTCCTCTTTTAGTTATAAACTGGTTTATACTCTGCTATTCCAGCTGGCTGCTTTCAACCTAAAGTATATTCATTTGCTGGGGGGAGGGGATGTGGAACCTTCATCTTGAGCTGTCTTGTAAAACACTGTAAGGGCTTGAGATGGTTCAAAATGCCATGGAGAGCTGGCCTAGATTCATAGATTTTTAGGGTCAGGAGGGTCTGCCCCTGCCTAGTGATTGCTCAGCAAAGGAGGGGCTGGATACAGCACATCTCTTCTGGGAAACGCCAGGCTCGGGAGGCACTGCGGAGTTGTGGGCAAGAGGTGCAAGGTGTCTGTCCATGCCGGAGAGATGCGGGGAGCCATGTGCTTGGCTGGACCCAGTCCATGGAGGGTTTTGAAATGCAGGGAAGTTTCCAATGGGGAGCCAGTGACCTTGGGGACCTTTGCAAGGGCTCAGGCAGCAGTGGGGAAGCCATGGAGAAGGGAGCTACGGGGCAATAAGGGACAAGCTGAAGGCAGAGAGAGGAGTTGCTGGAGTAGAGGCAGTCAGCTGTGGGGAGTTGGCAAAGCCCGGCCCTTTAAAGGTCTTGGCTGCAGAAGAGTTTCAGGCAAATAGGAGATGAGAGCTTGGGGGCAGCAGTTCCTGCCCCAGTGGGGGGGAGGGAAGGGCTGAGCATCTTCCAGTCTCCTCTTACCCTGCTGCCTCCTCTCCATAGCACCTCTGTGCTCTGGGGCTGTGCCTGTCCCCACCCCCATCCCCATGCTGTGCTTTGGGGCAATACCTGTCCCCTCCATCCCCCTTCCCCCGCTG